AGTACTGCAGGCCAAAGTGCTACCGCTACATTACCACAGCAGGCCTATATAACACTTTTGGAATGACAACATTTTAGAAATGGAGAACACATTAGTGGCTGCCAGTGGTTAGGACAGGGCTGGGGCATTTCTGCAAGAGTTAGGAGTGGTTTTAAAAAGGACAGTAGGAAGGATTCCTTTGATGATGAAACTATTCATAATCTTCACTGTGGTGATACTCAGCCTCTATAGGTGATAACAGAGCATAGAGCTAAACACACACACACACATACACACTAACACAGGAAAACTGGAGGTATCTGAGTCAGATCCACGGTCTGTATCAATCTGGTATCCTAGATGTAACATTGTACTTTGGTTTTGAAAAATGTTTTCATTAGGAAAACTGGGCAAAATTTACAAGGGATCTTCTGCATTGGTGCTTATGACTGCATGTGACCCTATAATAATCTCAAATTTTTCAGTTAAAAAACTATCAGTCTAAAAATATTTATAAAATCATGACTCTGTAAAACAAAAAGAAACTCAAAAATCTTTTTCCTGGTTATTTTTTCTGTGGTTGGCAATGGCTTCCTCTCCTGGGAAGACACCCCAAAAGTTGTTAAAATTGAACCCTCAGTCCCAAGACCCCTGCCCTAGGATATAACTATACCAAGAAGACAGCTGCTCTTCCCCACTTGTGAAGGACTCAGGAGTTCTTGCTTGAGCCTTAGGGAAGCCCTGGCTTGCAGAACCCATCCTGTGATTCTACAGCTAAAGGACTGGCTCTCAGTGAGACGATGAAGGGGGTTGCAGACTCCAGAATTTGGGCCACAGGTCCTGAGCCTGCCTGGCTGTCCCGCCTAGCTCCTGCTCTAGCTCTGGAACCCACTCACAGTGGCACCCCAGGGGAAGTGTAGGAAGTAGCTCTGGTCTGGCAGAGGTGGACATTCAAGTCCCACAGTGCACTCCCAAGGAGCTCTGACAAGCCAGCCGGGAGCTGAGATCGGGCACTCAGGTCACAGCCCTGGAGATATCTGTCCAGGTCTGGGAATACTGATCCATCAAGAACTTTCCAGTGACCTGAAGGAGTGGGTGGGATTGGTTGCCCCAGAGAGCACCATCTGGTGTCAGCCCTGGGAGTGTCCTAGATAGCCTCTGAAAGTGAGCTCACTAAGCCAGTAATGTTCCTTTCTCTTCCCTTTCCTTGACTTTCCACCTGTTGCCTCCAGGAAGTAAACGTGCAGTTTAATACCACACAGATGATACAGTACCAACCTGGGCATCTCCTGCACAATGTCCCAGCCCAGGGCATGCCCCCTTCACTAAGTCCCAGCAGGGCGCTCATGAGAGAGTAGAGAGGGACAGCGGGAGGTGCCAGCCAAATCTGTGCACCACAGCTGGCCCCTTTTTGCACTCTTAAGTAAAGAGACATGGAGGTTTTCTTTATATAAATTGTGATATTAAATGATAAATGTTGTCTTCATGCTGATTTTCACCCATTTCCAAGTCTTCAGACCAAGTCGACTTAGGTGGCATGCTTATTCTATAGTCATTGTTCATTCAACCCACATGTGTTTTCTGGGTCCTGGATACTGGCTTGAATGTTAGGGATACCTGGGTGAGTGGAATACAGCCTGTTCTCAACCAGCTCTCAGCTTAGAATTAAAGACAGGCTCAGAAACAAATGATTCTATTGCCTTATAAGTGCCACTATATACATATATACACACATATATATGTATACACATATGCACAAACATATACACACAAACTAGTATAGGAGCCCCACAGAAAGAATGATTTCTCTGCATGGGTCCATGGATTTCAGGGCAAATTCAGTCTATGTAGGCAGCCCAGAGAGATAAGCAAGTCAGGAAGAAGAACATCTCAAAAGCTGTTTCAAAGCAGATGAACAGGCCAAGGGCACGTGTACAGAGGGTGCACGCAGACCCCACTCTGCTTGAGCCTTGTGTCCCAAGCAGCCAAGATGGCAGCAAGGGGAGTGAGGTGGGGAAACCGAGCCCCAGTGAGTAGATCCAAATGAGTTGATTGGAAGTCACTGTTGTTGCCCTCGCTGCATTTCTAACTCATGGGACTCAGTCTCTGTTCATCCCTGTTGCTGAGGCCGGTTATCAGGATTCTGCATCTGCCTGTCTACACAAGCTCAGTTCTTACACACCCATTCACAGCCTCAGGTTCTCACTTCTTTGAATTTGCATCACAGGAGAGGCCTTGGCCCTTCGTGCTGGGTCTGCAGCCCATGTTCCCGCTCCACCCAAGGCCCAGAGAAGTGGAGGATATGGCTTCAGTAGATGCTTCAGACCCAGGCCAGAAATCCTCTTAGAGGCCTACTATGTTATTTATATTATTGACCATTTTTTAGCCTTCTTTTTTCAAATTTTGTGTAATATTATTGGATCTTCTATAATTCTTTTAAAAATGTTAAAAATAAAGCTATTTCAAATACTGAAGTATAAAAAATGACAGAGAGAGGGAAAGA